CAAACAGAGACACCGTTTACATCATAAGCAAAACAGATGTCGCCCACCTCGCATTCTATTGAGACAATTACGTGACATGGTAATATCCGAAACGTATACATAATTAGTCTAACAAAACGATACGATCGTTTTTGTTTGTTTACACGGTGAATAATCATTTTCAAAAGCATGATGCATTTTTATTATTGTTAACTGTGCTCTTGATGCACCAAGCCTGATTAAACATTAAAATAATTTCTTCGTATGTATTTTTGTGCTTCTGATTTCTGAATAACGAGGTTGATTTCTCGCTTGTTTGAATCCTCTCGTTTAGCCGCAATGCGGTCGGTATACGTATTGATCCATTAAATGCAGGCTAGCTCTTGCTATCCACATCAAATCAAAAAGAAAGATTCACTCCAGTAGTGCAAGCCTACATGATTATGTACAGTTAAATGTGATGCGCAAACCTATTTCCTGTAAGTAATATGAATTATTTGACGTTTAGAGATGGTTATTTGTCTTCTACGTGAATTGTTATCTATGAATTATGCTTGTCGTGCACAGCGTCTCAATAAATGCACGGTGACGTACACCTACTGTAGGATCTGCGCAGAATTACACGTGTCAACGGAGAGCTAGTCTACTCTCCGTTATAATCAAGCTCATCGACACCATTAGGCATCGCAGCATATGCCGCGATGGAATTAAATCAACGCCTCCCGTGTGAGGTGATACTTGCACATTGCGTCACAGTTAAACCTAGTCTGAGTCACAGTAATAATATTTAGCGTGCGAAATTCAAATCTCGTAAAACTGCTGCAAAATTGTGCCAGTCTGCAAGAAGAATTCGGCAGCGCCAGCCCCGCGCTTACTACATTAACTATTCATACCGTCATTGTATCATCGCCAACTTTACTCATTCCATCCGGTACCGGTGCTTACCCATGTTTTAAAGATATATACTGTTAGTGGCTACCTCAATCCCGTGTGCCTTTCTTTACATGAAAGAGTTCCATTAATTACGGGCCGTAATTATCATCGAAATTCAATCAGGATTGGAAAAGCGAGAACTCGTACTTGCTCGTAATTCCAGCCGCACAAATCTTCTCGTTGCTTTCCAAATATAGCCAGTCAGGTAATGCGGTTATATACCTGCCTAATTACACACGCAAGGATGTAGAGTTTTAAACGCATGCGTTAAAATTACCGTGAAAACTACGCGATGCGTGTTGTACAGGATACGTCACTTAATATATATGTAGTATATGTAGAAAACTCGGAAGCCGTGAGTTCAGGGAACGGTTGAAGAAGACAGTGAAGAGTCAAGAATGCACTTGCACGGTGCTATGACAGGACTGCTGCAGAGTTGTGACGATACTATACCGTAACATTGCACGTAACCCATTTGCAACACCACCACAGTTTTTCAGTGACCGATTCAAGCACGCATTAAGGAAGGTGGGTGGGTATTTCCAGGGCGCGAGGTTGGACCATTTTAATTATCTGGCAACCGAGAAAAACTGAATAAATTTGTCGCGTCCTCACTACAACCGCCATCATCAGCGTCTCCATCATAACCGCCATCGTCAGCGTCCCCATCACAACCGCCATCGTCAGCGTCCCCACCACAACCGCCATCGTCAGCGTCCCCACCACAACCGCCATTGTCAGCGTCTCTATCATAACCGCCATCATCAGCGTCCCCACCACAACCGCCATCGTCAGCGTCCTCACCACAACCGCTATATCGTCCTTATCTCTCTCAATCTCTGTTTCAGTCTCTCTATCTCACTGTCTCCCGCGCTTCTTCTTTATCGTCATCTCTCCTCTCCCTTTCATCTTTCTCTCTCTTTCTCTCTCGCTCTCTCTCTCTCTTTTCTCTGTCTTCTCCATCTCCCTCCACCTCTCCCCGTGCTTCTCTCTCTCTCTTCATATTTCTCTCTCCATCTCCATCTATCTCTCTCTCTCTCCATCTCCCTCCTCTCTCTCTCTCCATTTATCTCTCCATTTCTCTCTTTCTCTCTCGCCATCCCCTCTCTCGCGCGCGTCCCCTCTCTATCGCTCGCGGGGCTTTTCCTTCCACATATATCCTGATCGAGTCTGTAATAATTAGCTGCGCGTAGCCTGGTGTGAGTTATTCACGGGGGACGTGCATGGGTACGAGCACAAAGTCTCCGCTTGACACGCGCTACGTGATTAACTGTCGCATGGGGATTTGCCATCTTCTTTCCACGCTTGAATGTCGCAGCATGGTGGTCACATGGTGACGAGACATGGTAACTAATAAGGAGGAAGACGCTGCCGCTAATTAATAAATAAATATCCCTTAACGAGACAGAGCGGAAATGCGACGTCATTAAGGTACGGCGTTCTTGTAGGGGCTTATCATACTAAACTCTCAACCATAAAACAGGCACGCGCGTGTGTGCATGTGTGCGTACGTGCCCGCGCGCGTGTGTGCATGTGTGCGTGCATGCGTGCGTACGTGCGCGCGCGTGTGTGGGTGGATTGGGTTTGTGTGCGCGCGCGTGTGTGGGTTTGTGTGCGCGCGCGTGTGTGGGTTTGTGTGCGCGCGCGTGTGTGGGTTTGTGTGCGCGCGCGTGTTCTGTGTAGGTGTGTGAGCATTCATCAGTATAATTTCTAAGTGGCTAGATTCAAATACCACTATCGGGTGGATCAGCTGTGCTTTTCAAGGGACGAAATTGAATTTTGATGCTACTACGATATATACCACTGGCGTCCCACTACGGCTCTGTTTTTTTTAATTCCCTATTGATTTTTTTAATTATTTATGTAAATAGTCTGCTTGAGGGTTGCTTGTTATGCAATACCTTGCAGAATGCGGATAAATAGCAAGGCAGCATATGCAGCCCAAATATCAGCCGAAAACATCCAAAAGAACGTTTTAAGTGTCATCAGATAGTTGAGTGACAAATCCAAAGGAACTGCACCGATATTATGAATGCAATCTATATTACTCGTAGCACAAATCCTCCTAACATGTACAAGCGAAACAGCCGGGTTAACGTCGAAAAATACGCTACCGAAGAATGAGATACTAACCCGATTTCTCATGACTGCACAAAACTCTTTTAACTAAAGCTTGTATATACTTGGATTCTTTAAGCCGAATTCAAATATCGATGTACAAGGTCACCTTGAAGATGGATGCATAGGGCAGACTGTTGTACTGCATATCCTAGCTTATTGTAATATTATGATATAATTATGCTATATGTATGTATGCTATAGCTATGTATATACTGATGCCATGGACATAAAACCCATATCTATGGAGCTACGGAGAATGTTGATATCTATCTACCTTGCTATGTTATTGTAATTTACGGCACGACAGAAACGCGGTGCAACCTTAATATCTGTCTAGATTTACTCATTAGGGAGATTATGCTGGTCACTATAATTTCCACGTTATGCAAGGTAATTAAGTCACGCTGGTTGGCGACCGGTGGTACGAGAAGGTAGAAAATACGCGGCGAGTTGGTCTAGCGACGAGACGTAGCTAATAAGGAGGAAGACGGTGCCGCTAATGAGTAGGTATATGTCGGCTAGTTATAACGAAGATGCGAGGTCATTAGGACACTCCACTCTTGTATGGGGATTAACACACGCCTGATTTGCGCGTGTTCGTGGCAGTCAATTTGAATTGCTTGCAATCAAATGCGGGCAAAGTAGGAGACCGCACATGTTTATATCCAAGAGATCAATCTAGCACGTGCTCAACAGCCCATAATTCGCGCGCCGAACAGTTGCTATAACGTGGTCACGGCATGATGCCGACTAATGCATGTCACGATCACGCGGTGTTCAAGGAGGTCCTTACCCCCAGCTGTGTGCGCTGTGTGGTGCCTGCGTGCTTACCTCCCGCTGTGTGCGCTGTGTGGTGTCTGCGTGCTTACCTCCCGCTGTGTGCGCTGTGTGGTGCCTGCGTGCTTACCTCCCGCTGTGTGCGCTGTGTGGTGTCTGCGTGCTTACCTCCCGCTGTGTGGTGTCTGCGTGCTTACCTCCCGCTGTGTGCGCTGTGTGGTGCCTGCGTGCTTACCTCCCGCTGTGTGGTGCCTGCGTGCTTACCTCCTTGGAATTGGATCCCTTGTGTGGATTCTAATCTATATTAGCGCGTAATTATAAATACTCTAAGGTATTCTGTTCAATTCTTCTCACCTATCTACAGTAATCCGCCGTGTAGAATCTATACAGCTAGGCGTCAATCGGCTACCCCTAACTAACACCCTCAAACCCATGCGCGCGAGGTAGCTAGATGCAGAACTTAATCTGTAATTTCAACCGCAAACTAATCAGGCTGTGTTCCCTTGATCGGCAATCTTTCGCCGGTTAATGGTATGAATGTGAGGTGAAGTTGGTCGCGCCCAAGGAGCAGTGTCACGTTGTGGCTTCATATATGCAACTATCCCATCTATAGGGACCGTGCGCAGTATCATTTCCGTTCGTTCATTAATCTGACGGTAGTATAAGTGAGGAGACCGAAATTACGCGTGCGGCATATAAAAGGACGATATACTTGTCGGATATTTGCCGAAACGAAAAGCGTTACGTCGCATAGAGTGAGTGACGATGGAAACACACGCTGCGTGATGGGATGTGATGTAAATGACAGTGGGCCGACGGCGCGAGGTTTGAATAGCTAGACGATAGAGTCAGAATAATCGATACTTTCGATAGGCTATGCAATGTTGTCCTGCTATTCGATATTGTCTTCCATCGTACGAGCAAGTGTGTTAACGATTAAGCAGACCGGAAATTTGTGTAATGTCATTTTAATCATTTAACGATATCGCGTGGCACAAATATCAATCGATTTAACTGTTAGCAATGACGAAAACTAGAACGAAATTCTAAAACGGTGAACCGTTGTTTATTTCACTTTTTGTTCGTATTCACATCATATTTTATTGTTTTATTTTACTTTTGTGCTATCCCGTGGCCATTGTTTAATATGCCATACGTACGTATACTCTTTTGCAGCAGGGTGATGTAGTAAAATAGGGACATCAGAAGCTTAATCGTATGCAGCTATTAATTATAAAATCCAAACGTAAGTAATGTAATTTGTCCATACTTACCGCTGGTTGTACTTTCAGTTCCTGCTTCTCTTTGTCACCCTGCGCCCAGAACTCACTGGCAATCTGCTCAGCTACCTATACCACGCAAGTACATACATTTTTGTACATGCGTGAGATACATAAACACGCGAGAAATATATGCACGTAAAAAACATCGATCATTTTCTGGTAAGGTTATAATTTCTTAATTAACAACAAAAGAGTTAGGGTTTGGGTTTTTTCAAAAAGTTGAATTATGGAAATCATGTAAGATAAACAGTAGACGCATGTCGGCACCCGTAGTTTTGATTATGTCGAGATAACTCCATTATTAAAAATAACTTTCTTACGTATGCCAAATTACTTATCCCTGCATTGTCAACAATACAATGTAACTTAGTGCATTGTGCGTTGACCGCAGGGTCCAGTTACGTCTTGTAGTTGTACAAAAGTTAATATAATTTCCATGTGCATTAGTTGAATTCTTCTTGTACGTATCTACGAAATTACTTTAAAAAATGCTTAAACTATACAACTTAATATGTTGGACAACATATTTACGAATAACTTCTGCCCACAAAGGTTGTGGACATATAGAAACTAACAGCGTGTAAACGCATATATAGTGGATTTAAGTACTAATGGATCTATTGCTGCTGCACTGGTGTGAGAGAGAATGGCGGCAAGTTATTAATCATTTGACTGCAAAGCAATAAGAGATTTGACATATTTAGGCCGCATGCTTATTGCTCGTCACTACAGCTAGGTTGATTGCAATATATATCCACAGAGGAATGCGGGAATGCGAATCATAAATACGTGCGTGAGGACTTGCACGCAAAATTAATGACAAAACCCACAGACTAGAAGTGAACATCAAATTCATGGAATGATTCCTTTTACATTCCAACATTACAAATTTAAACACTATTGTTATGGTCATTCTTTTTACCGCACCATGTTTCAGCATTGGTGAGGTAGTTCGTCAAATCTTTATAATATAGGCCCCTATATATATATATATATATATATATATATATATATATATATATATATATATATATATATATATATATATATATATATATATATATATATATATGACTGTAGGTTCTACTTTGGCAACATTCCATAATATGTATTTTATTGATTTCCCACCATATAAACTGCTTCTAATCGATAGTGACTCACTAACATTTTTATTTTGTGCGTTCTATACTCTTACCAGTTAATGTCCGACATTAACGCGTATATAGATAAGCACAAGAAACACATGCACATATGAGATGAAGAGAGATACATGAGTTACACTGCCACCCACGGTAATATGAATAGGCCGAGTCGCGCTAATTGTTGATATATAGGAGTGGTCACCTAGCATCGATTTGCCTCCATTCAGCTGCAACCGTTACTTTCATAAATTACACACACGCAAACGCTGCACACACGCACACGCACACGCGCGCATTCACACACACATATACGTACGCACGTACGAACGCGCGTGCATTCGCACACGTGCACGCACGCACAGGCGGACGCGAATGCATGCGCGTACTCACGCTCGAAAATATGCATGCACGCACGCCAATGCACACGCGTGCGCATGCACGCACGCCAATGCACGTGTGGGCGCATGCACGCATGTAAATGCACATGTGGGCGCATGCACGCATGTCAATGCACGTGTGGATGCATGCACGCACGTAACTACGTACGCACGCTCGCACGCGAGATTTGGTTTGACATCGTGCTTTCTGGCGCGTAATCACGAATCGGAATTGTTTTGGAACTAATCGTCTCTTTTAAACGCCCCCAGAACCACCTAGTCGTCATCACTCATTTATCTCATTCAGTTTGTAGCGCGAGCTAATATGATGGGTGTCTCTACCTTGCATTGGATCTCCCATGCCTTTGTACAGGCAGAGATGTCACATGCCGTCATCAGACAACTGCGCAACATGTGCATGTGGTTCGGCTGCGTCTCGTCGAGTTTCTTTTCGGCAACCAGGGGGCCGAAATTCTTGTACGCCCTGTGACGTTGATATCAGCATGTTAACATTTTAGCAGGCATATGGGGCGTGAGTGTTTTCTTTCTGCACGTCATAATTTGTTTCGTGATGTCTCGATTTGTGTCCTGATACAAGACATCGCTATTACCAAGCTACCACGCCAAACGCTTTAATATTTGCACGAAACAGACCAACACTAACCAAACAAGGAAAATAACAAAATAAATAATATCAGCTAGTATAAATGAATATCCATAGGTTTTGTGGAATACAAGGGTTCCGGGAAACAGGATTATCGGGCGTCGAACGATGATGAAACGGAAAGAAATAGAAGAACGAACTAAAACTGATCAAATAATGGTGTAGGAAATAGAAGAGTTCATGAATATGGTAATAGGACAGAAACATGCGCGAGGTCGTTGATGAGTATCTCCGTGTTGCGCTAGTTAGGAATGCCAGCGAGAGTTAAAACTTCAGAAAGACTTGTTCTTACTTGAAGTGGAGCAATAAGTCCGTGGCGAGTATGGCTTCTTTCAGCAGGTTCATTACTGCACTATAATCCGCCGCACTCATGCTGCTGAAGATATTGTGTCCCTTTTAAAGAAAACGATCTCAATAATAACAACAGAATCCACATGCTATGCCAGTCAAACTACAGCTATTCGTTTAATACGCCCCTATCAGAATTTTAATGCCGTACCTTGTATTAGTACTAAGGAATATTCTCGCCACCCCCGGCGAATATTGCACGTAAGCGCTCTTGCAGCCGTAATCATTTCCATTTAACATCAAGTGTTAGCAAGAGGAATCACTGTGTGATAATGCATAGCGAAAAAGCGAACACTGTGCGTACGGACACTGTGCGTACGGACTGAATTTTCAACGCGTAGACTACTTCTAACATGGTATAGAGACTGATCTAGAGTTCGACGTACCTCGCTGTTCAGTATCATGACGGCGTGGTTGAAGTGGTGCTGTTCCATCGTAGCGCTGGTGCCATACAAAAGCGCCAGCGGAGACTGCGTCCTGGAAAATTCACTCGCATTGAAAATGCTATAGAATTTCATGTTTATCACGCCAGGTTACGTGGCATCGTGAGGATATTAATGGCGGCATATATCGCTCTTTGTCGTCAACGAGTGAAAATTGTTAGGAAATCTGACAATCAATTTTTGAATTATTACATATAATTACTAAAAAGCGGAAGCATGCGCACGAACTAAAGCTTCAAAACAAAATCTATAAATTCAGGCTACTGCAATGTGTGACGTTAATGGATGTTTTACTACATTAAAACATTTTATGCACGCTACTCGTGTTTTAAAAATGTTTTTCAACACAATTTATCGAGAGTGCCCGCGAATTTACGACACATGGAAGCACTTACTTTACGTGGAATGCATTATTTGTTCCTCTGTGGTCCAGGTCATGACAGAAACAACCGACCAGCAAAGCTAGTTTCTCCAAGTCTGAGATTTTATTTCCAACGTCCGTAGTCTATACCAGCGGCATGTGAAGAAACGCAAATCATCACGATGAACACACTTCCAGCGACGCATTAATAACAGTAGATCTAACATGGACCGTAATATTACATACCAGAATCGTATTCCGCAGAGTCGAACTTAAGAGCGATTTTATAATGGCGGTTTCGACACGAAATTTATTCAACATGCAGTAACTATTCAGCTTAATTGCCCCACACGTCGCCGCGTTTATGCCCATTCTTGCGCATTCGGAAATTTCCACGGAACGAATTATACCTCGATCGCAACTGATATTCAGCAATCTAACGAATTAATGAACTAATAATGTACGTTTGGCGTTTAACACGGCACCGAGGGGCGAGTCATAGTATGTAGCGAGTTATACTATCTATTTCCCGTAGGAGTTTGCTTACGACTAACAAACGTACATAGAGACATTCCTGTAGAAGGGACAGCGTATTGTGGACTGTACAGCAGCCAGGTTTACTAGATAATTAACGAGCCGGACATCCAGAAACATTGCCAGTTGTGAAGGCATGATACTTCACTCTGACACATATTGCGCAGGCAACAATGATGGCAGAGTGATTACAAGTGCGCTCACCAAACTCCATAACATAATTAACGCTGAAATCCAGAGAGGATGAAATGATACTGTGAGAAGCAGATTGAGTGGTATGTTTCGTGCGTACGGGTGAGGGTGCGCGAGAGCGCGCGGCACAGGACGACAGTGAAGGGTGGGGAGAAAGAGAAGGTGGGAGGGAGAAGGGAGAAGTACTCTAATTTATTTAATAGTTAAACTAACTACGTCACGAATTTTCTATGGTAAAATTTGTAAAATTTGTGTTGCCATTTTTTTACATTAAAAGTAAGAACTAACGTATCGTCAAATTCTTACCTGATAAGATTGTTTCTCAACTAGTTAAAAATCCAAAAAACCTGGACGATTTGATATTATGTTCCTGACATTAATTGCTTGCTATGGGCTATGTATGAGTCACGAGTGTATGTTCCCATCGAACAATATAGTAAAACAGAAAGTGCAATGCAGCAATTTAACCATAAAAAGTGAACAGAATTACTTATATTTTGTGAAAAAGTGGAAATATTTTTTCCATTTTTACTATTTACGGTGACGTAATCACTTTAATCACAATTCTAGCAAGTTAAACGTTAGCGCTGAATATTTCACACTTTCGCTAGTCATGCGCAATCATTAAATTACATGATTCATTAGCGGCACGTTTAGCGTGGGAAGATGCAGCATCCGGCAAATACTTAAGAATGTACCAATTATGTATGAATAAAATGTTATATATATATAAATAAATAAATAAATATATATATATATATGTGTGTGTGTGTGTGTGTGTGTGTGTGTGTGTGTGTGTTGTGTGTGTGTGTTGTGTGTGTGTGTGTGTGTGTGTGTGCGCGCGCG